AACTTCTCTGAGCTCTCCAGCTTGTAATGGGAACACGCCTGCTATTTCATCCCTTTCTTGGGTGTAGTCTGGGTCTCCCCATTCTGCTAGCTGGGTCTCCCCATTCTGCTTTGCAGGCTGGTTGGAGGGAAGGCCATGGTGCTTTCTCTGCTTTCCCCCCAGGGACATGTTGTATGCCCCCAAGAGAATGGGAATTGATGAATCCCTGCACTCCCCCAGCACAAGGGCTGCAATTTTGCCTGGCCTTTAAACAGGTTGCAGATGGGGTAAGGCTTCTTGTGCCCTCCCAATCACAGCATGCCCATGTAAGAGCCGGATAGACCCTGCCAGCGGGTGCCAGTCACACAGGGATCTTGTCTATCGAATAAGAAGATGCCATTTGAAAACAGACATTTTCAAGTAGAACCATCCTTTAAAAATAAAATGTAGGGCTCAAATTCTGCCCTCACTCAGGCACATACCCCACTTGACTTCAAGGGGAACTGCATCTGGTCATTGCAGAGGTGGGCTAGAAACTCAGCTCCTTTACAGTCCCATAAATTTTCATTTGAATCTTCTAACACTCTTAACTGAATCCAAAGCAGCTATAATCCTTATACACCTCCTTCTGTGGCACTCACAAGGCCTGGTTATGATCCAGTGCCCATTGAAGTAATTTGAAAGATTCCCACTGACTTCAGTGGGCCTTGGATCTGACCTCCTACTGAGTAGCATCATATTATTCACAGGACTACCTCGGAAGCACTTGCTCTGCTTTTCGTCAATCCTCACTCAGACTGAGGCAAATCTCAAGTTAATTAAAACTAATTAATTAAAACTCAGTAAAAACTGAGTTCAGGATTTGGCTGTGTCTGTGTTTTAATATTTTGTTTCACAGTAGTAAAATTTAAATACATTGGAATGATAGTCTATATTTAAGGAACTATAGGAGTAAAAATTCATAAGATCGTATTCTGCCCTCATTTACCCAGGTGCAACCTTGTTGGCTCCATTGAAGCTGCAATGTTGTGAGAGGAGGGTCTGATCCATAATCCCCGGTTAGGGGCTCAGTCCTGCTCCGCTTTACATAGACACAGCTATTGAGGACAGTTGAGTTGCCTGAGTGTAACTGAGGGCAAAAAGTAGCTCTGGGGTTTTAAAAAAGAAGGATTTCTAAATGAATGGGCTGAGGATTTTCCTCAGGGACTGTCTGTCCTTCAGTCATCTTTGTTCTTTTTTAAATGGCTTTTGAAACTTATATAAACAGTCCGAGTCCCATTGCATATCTTTCCCAGGGGCAGAATAAGCACCCAAATAATGTTTTCACTGGGACTTACTTGCTGACCATATAAGGAGAAAAAATGTATTTTCCCTGCAACCTACTTTGGTGTTTACTATAAAATGCACCCTGAGCTGAAACCCTTCTACTGTACATGTGTTTTAACATAGGCCCATCTTGTCATTCCAAAGGGGGATAGTGCTGAGTAAGCAAAGCGCTCCTGGCTCCTCACAGCAGCACCTAGGGCAGACTATGTTCTTGATCCCACAAGCAACTCCTATTATCTAGAAGATGGCCAAATTCTACGCTTGAGGGCATGAACATTGTTTCCATTCAAGGAAATGCGAATTGCATTCACATGCCTGATAGCAGATGCCCATCTGTCTTCTATTCAGCACAGACAGAAGCTACCGCACACAGCTGGAGATTGGCCATCCACAATATGAGTCAATGCAGGTGTGCAAATGGGTGAGGGCACAAAGAGTCTTAGCCCCCAACCTCAATCCTGAAGCAAGGGCCAATCTCAGTTGCAGTCCCTCAGCACAACTAAGCTACAAAACTACTACTGGCTAAAGAGGGAAATGGGGGCAGGAAAGAGACATGCCTCCATTCCCCTGATGCTTTTGCTGATGGCAAAGTTGTATGCATGCCCACCCCCCCCTTCCCCTCCCGCACACCTGGGTGCTCCTTGGGGTAGATGCCTGCCCCTGAGGTGATGTAGGTCCACACTATATCCAGCACAGACCAATACCAAGTGAGCATGGAATTTATAACCTACAGTGCAGTGCAACAGTACTATCCAATTAGACATGCAAAGAAAAGGATTTGTCACAGTGGGCTAGACACTCTACCCTGCTCCTCTCAGACCCCATGGAGAGCAGGGGCACAGTGGTTGTTCGTTGGATATAGCTCCTTGATCCTGTGCTGTCTAGCTCCAGCCTAAGCATTGCAGGGTAGCAGCTCAAACTTACTGTATTGGCGTAAGGTCCTTCACTGATGTTATACCTGTGGAGGATTTTTTGTAGCAGAACTCAACTTAGTCACACCCCCTCTTTGCCCCAAGCCGATCTTGTATGTCTCCTCCATCCCCTTGTGCCAGGGTTGAGGGGTGCAGTTGTAAAAGGGGACATCGCCACCATCTCTGCCAGGTTTCTGCCAGTGAAGAGCTCCCCTGTGCAGGGAGATTCTCTGCTGGCTATTTCTGGCCAGTTTCTGTGCTTCTAAGTGGTCCAAAAGTGGACTTAACGGACCAATATCCTTATAAAGTAGCAAAAATGTCCGTGTATATTCTGAACAAGCCATTGTCAGCATTCCTAGAATACAAATAAAATAAGATTACACAATGACTAGTAATGTCTTATTACAAAAGTGATAATATAATTGAATGCAAAAAGTAAAGATTTTAGTATGGGGGGAGAGCGGGTGTTTTAGGGGAGTTGTGGATCATGAAAAGTTGCCCTGATAAACAAATGTGGTTTAGCTGCACAGCTCCTAAAGAACTTAAAATGTACCCCTCAAAATTGGGCGTGGACTGTAGAAAAGAATCCTTCTTTAAAACACAGAGTTGCCTTTAACTAATAAAAGAAATCTAAAATTGTCCATTGTCATAGCTTTAACGTTAACATTGGTTGCTTTGGCAAGCTTTAAATACTAGCTGCACTATAAAACCTAAAAATGTCCTGGACTTGAAGTTGTTTACACAAAATGTGAGCAGATATAAAGTTACAGAGCTGGGGAGGTGGCTTTAAAACCATCCTCCATGTACTGACGTCACATGGAACCCAGCTGCCGGGATGATGCCAGACAGAACTGTTTTTCAGTTTGCGAAACTGAAGTTGTGAAGTTAATCAAAGAGAGTTGCAAGCGCTGCTCTGATTGAAAAATTACCTCTTTCCTGGTTTCTTGTTTTCTTTAAGGATCAGGATTCACAGAACTGGAACTCTTTATCCCAGCTAGCTATGCATTTCACTGCTTTCACTACTACACTGAAAAATGCACTGAAAAACTTCTGAAGGATTGTTTACTTCAAAAAGGTAAGTTCTTTTCTTTTCTTTTCTTTTCTTTTTTCTTTTAAAAATCACAGTGGTTTTTGAAGAGTTGTGGCCTTATTTGTGAAATAGAAAAGAAAGTTAACAATACACATCATTAAGGCTGTAAACAGTTTGGCTAACGGATCTTGTAAACATCTGCCTCATTTTGATATTTGTATCTAGACCAATAATAGTTTAAAAGTGTGATGGTGGTTGTTTATTCTCAAGGAAAGGCTGTTCAGTGGTTCAGTCAGTGTTTCCAAACTATGGAATGATTTATTAACAAGGCAAAGATGTTAGCCCATTTTTGCACATTCGATCTTTTGTTTTTTAAATAGTAGAGGGAGACTCTGAGAGTTTCTTATAGGTTTAATATAAAGTTTATAAAATCTATGATGCCAGCCACTTCTTTAAAAAAATAGAAATAGACCCATCCAGAAGCCAGCACCTTATCTTACTGTGAATTAATCACTCGTAAAACAGCGGAAGATCAGTTTACCTGAATAGCTGTGCACATCCACTCTAGGTAATCTCTGTTGAAAAATAACACCTCCTCTTCTGATGTCACAGCAGATTATTTTTAGAAGTTGTCATACCCCAGCAGAGATTTAGTTCAGATTATTTTGCATTTTTTGATATGAACATAGAGGGGAGGTAGAGGGAAGAAAGAGTAACATTAGAGACCTGGAACAGCATAAAACCTTTTTATTTGAGAGGAAAGAAGGGTACAGTGAAAGGAGAAATACAGCTGATGTCAACAAAATTGATTATTTGTTTAAAGTTGATTGCTGTAATGAGCTTTTGACCTTGTCTAGGGCGTGTGGAAAGTGCCAATACAGCCAAATTTCAGACACTGTACTGCTCCCCAAGGCAAACTAAAATCGTGGCTGTGTTGGGGTGATAGGACTTCACACGTGAAAGAAAAAGGTATTTTAATAAAAAGGAAGCAGTGGCTTTTTACATTCGTTTGTTATGCTCGAGCCATGTGGAATACCTGTGGGAACAGCCCAGTGTTTTATACAAACAGTAAGTATACTAGCAGTATTAGAGATTGGGATCTTATTCCTGGCTTCCATGGAGAAACAAGCAGAGAAAGAGACAAAGATTGGGACAGGAGTCAAAGTCCTCTAAGGAATTTAGCCACCATAGCAACAGCAGTAGCAGCAAATGGTCACCCAGCCATCTGAGCAAACATCAGCAATCATGACCTTCACTATGGGTATGTCTACACTTACATTTTATAACGCTCTAACTTGCTGTCTCAGGGATGTGAAAAATCACCCCCCTGCGCGCAGCAAATCTGAGCGCTTTAAAGCGCCAGTGTAGACTGGCTCCGAGCGATGGGAGAGCTCTCTCCCAGCGCTCGCGCGCGACCACATTCACACTTCAAAGCACTGCTGCGGGAGCGTTCCCGCGGCAGCGCTTTGAAGTTTCCAGTGTAGACATACCCTGTGACTATTTGCATCTTAAGAGGAAATTTGAAGGGAGTAAGAAGTGATATGAACAGGAAAAGAAATCATGGATGAAAGAGAGAAGCACTTTTGAGGGAAGTTACAGTTACAAGTAAATAGCTGCAACTAACTTTTTCCAGGACTTGATTGCATTTTGATGGTCTCTATTCTATTTTTATAAATGGAATCTTGTACGAGGCAGATGTACATTTTGAAGATGGGAGTAATACCTGATAAGTAATCACTCTAAAAGAACATCAAGAGTCTTTTGACATGTTAAACTGCTTTGCAAATGTGTGCATGACTGGAGCACATTCAGTAAATATTAAGCTGCAATGTAGGCTTTCAGATTGGTTCCAGTAAGATTTACCATTTGCTTCTGATTGAATCACAGTTGTTATTCCTAATGTTGCACTGACAAAGGCTTGTGCAAACGGTAGGCAAAACATATCTCAATCTGTCTCTAGTTTATGCCTTCACACTGTTCTTTGCTACATGCATTTGAATTATTCCAGAGAAGTCAAATGAGTAAATAGATCAGTTTGGTTAATTCCGCTTAAGTTTCTTGAATAAGTTAAAAGAGTAAGTATAACAAAAGAGTGAATTACTGCTTTACCTCCCTTCCTCCATAAAAATACAACCTTTGTAGTGGTGAAATGAAAAAAATATTGATATGGCTGTAGATGTTCCATGAATAGACGTTTCAAATGCAACAGATCTTCAGTGCATAGAACTCTTATATAAGAAGTTGTTTTTCCATCAACATTTACTACAATCCCTGGTACTGAGCTAGAACCTTGGCCCTGGAGGGGGGCCAGCTCCATAGACTGGCCGGCTTCAACATGAAGCCATGAGCCTATCTGAAACAACAAACTAACAGGGGACGTATTTCATATTAAGAATGCTGAGTTGTCTTGGAGCAGTTTTGTTAGTGTCAGAGATCTTTATTTGTAAAGCTACCCTGAATGTTTCTAGGTAGATGAAAACAGAAATGTTTTGCTGGATCTGAAGTCTGTTTTGGAAGTGGTTCAAACCATAGGTGCTGCCTTTTAGTTTTCCCCAGGAGTGCGCCATCCCCACTCTGCCCCGAGGCCCTGCCCCCACCCCGCCCTCTCCCCCAAGGCCCCACCCTCGCTCCACCTCTTCTCGCCCCCACTCGATCCCCTTGAGGCCCTGCCCTCGCTCCACCTCTTCCTCCCCCTGCTCCACCCCCCTCCCTGAGCCACCAAACAGCTGTTTGTCAGAGCCCCAATTAGCTGATCGGGGGAGCACCAAATAGCTGATCGGCAGCACCACCGAACAACTGTGGCTGGTGGGTGCTGAGCTCCCACTATTTTTTTCCTGTGGGTGCTCCAGCTCCAGAGCACCCAGGAAGTTGGCACCTATGGCTCAGGCAGAGCTAAAGAAGGAAGAGAAAAGAAGAACTGGTTAAAAGACAGGGAACAAAGGGTAGGAATTAATGGTAAATTCTCAGAATGGAGAGGGGTAACTAGTGGTGTTGCCC